GGTATCGCTACAGGATACTCCTTAAAAGTTGTGAAAAATCTAAGTACTCAAAAATATCGCCTTTAACTACACTTAAATATTCCAAAAATCAAAATTTGAATATATGCATAATTTAAGCATAAAAATGGGGTGAGCATGCTTAAAAAATCACCCTGTATATTACATAATATATTAGTATTTACCTATATTATATTATTTATAATTATTAATTTTTAAGTACACACCAAATTAAGTATAAATACTTTTTAGAATAAGTATTTGGGGCCAAATAAGTGATGCAGTGGACACGTAGTTGATAGCGATTCTCATAAATAAATAGATCACATGATCTCCCTACTACCCACTTGTGGTACGTATTGAAAAAGACCTTAAAGTAATTTCAATGAACAAATACACAGAGAGAAAAAAAAGAATAAGTATTGATGCCATAATACGCATATTTGAGAATTTAGTTATTTTATAATTGAAATACAAAACTAAAAACGACCTCCATCGTTGTAAATTCAATACATTCATCATTCTGGATATAAAAATGAATTAACTTCTTTTAACTGAGTTAAGTTAATATAAATATTTTGCTCTATAAAATATTTTACTTTAATAATACTAAGATTACCTATATAATATTATAATTTATAGTACAGGTATGGTATGATATTAAATAATTACAATGACCAATATAAACAAAAATCGAATATAAAATTTTTCGGGGAACGACTGAGTCTTTTTCTTAGGATCTTAGGATAATGTATCGCTTAAAACTATGTACTATTATAATATACTATTGATTAAGTCAATAGTATGCAAACAACGAATTTTCTAAACAAGCATTAAGGGTCTCAGTTACATTTCTATAAGATTCCAACAAATTAAAAATATTAAAATTATATTAATAAATTACTTTTTTGCAAAACGTACTGATGGTTATACTACATCAATAACACTTAAACATAGTCAAGGCCGACCTGAACCACTTACACGATCCCTGGGTGTGGAGTGTTCAATCTAACCTATAACTTAACCTTATTTCGAGCATTGTGCCGATATGTTCTAATCAAAATTTAAAAAAAAATATAGCTGGTCTTGAAAATACACTTTGATTAAGCGTTATACACTTATAGTTCAGCGAAATCCAATTACCCGAAACATTTTAATTTACCAATGAATCAAATGAATGATTGGAAGATACAAGGTTACACAACTAGTTTGTTATGCAGATGACACAATACTTTGTATAGAATGTAACTGATAGGAATATGGGAGGAGGTATTAACTATTTTATAACCATAAAATGATTTAGATAATAATATTCTTTCTTTATCTCAGGTAAATACTGATGATAAATATTTTGGAGAAAATGATTTAGATAATAATATTCTTTCTTTATCTCAGGTAAATACTGATGATAAATATTTTGGAGAAAATGATTTAGATAATAATATTCTTTCTTTATCTCAGGTAAATACTGATGATAAATATTTTGGAGAAAATGATTTAGATAATAATACCCAAACATGATTTTATATGAATAATGTATACATACATTTAGAAATAACCTATTTTTTACGTTATTACATAAAGTAATCTCTAATTCTCTTGATATTGAGTTTATTTTATATAGTAACTACACAAATCATAAAGAAGTATGTGCCATATGGTATGTAATGGTCAAACATCGTTTATTATTTTTTTAAATTGTTTAAAATATTAATATATAATTAATATATTATTTATTGAAATTTGGTAGGTTTAACTTTAAAATAGAAGAAACATAAATATCAGTGGTGGCTAACATGATTACGTCCATTGCTGACTGTAAATACATAGGTACATACAAAATTATAATAATCAGTTATCTGGAAGACCACTTCCCCAATCTCGTAATAACAAGACCCTACAGAACTATGAAAAATTATCTATACATTCAAAAACATAGTTGTTATTGTAGATAAAAATGTATAAGAAAATTAGAGTCGTATATCTTAATAACTACTGGTGGTATTTCTGTATTGTGTAGGGTGAAAGTTTAGAAGTGGAGCGACGGTTTTCACAATTACAGACCCATTTAAAAATATAATAAATCCTAAGGCCCAAAGTATTATACTGAACCTGGAAATCTGGAATATTTAAATCTGGACCTGCACAGGAAAAATTTTGGTGTCGATTGGTGCCGTTCGAGTAAACAGAACAGTTTATGTACCTAGGTAAAGATATAAAAATATAATCAATCAGAGATATCTAGATTACAATTATATATAGTGTAAACATCTCTGTGTAATGTGTATATTTATACACAATATATATATATATATATATATATAAATAAAAATATATAGATTATGAATGTCACTATTGTTGTACATTAATTATAAAGAGTGGATGTGGGCTGTCATTTTGAATTATTAAATTAACTCAAAAAATGACCAAATATACCACACTGAGCATCCACATAAAAAATTATATATTAAATCAGAAAAAATAATTATTTTACATTAATATTCGTTCTTAACATTGTATAAAATAATAAAATTTCAATTATAAAACATTGATATAATACTAAACATTTTTAAATATCAGTGTATACCTTTCATGGACAAAAAACTAACACAGCCCACTTATTTGTACCTACCTGTTATAGATATTCAAAATTGTGATCGTAATAATCTAAAAACATAAAAATACTATTTAAAACTGGCTACCTYCTGATAAAATAAATTAGTAATCTTTAAACTAATACATTTTAACCCATATCAAATTAGTATTTAAATGCACAACAATAATTTTAGTTTTAATTTTTTAAATAAATTATATTTTATATTATTTATATCTATGTATTATTTTATGTATCTACTTTTCTTATAATTATTTTAAAACATAATATTACATACTTTTGCTTCGTCAAACTTTAGTGATGCCTTATGTCCACGAACCAAGTAATCTAATGACCAGCTCTGCCTGTAAATTAAAAGCAAGTGACATCACGCTTCGTAGATCGAGAAAGAGGGTGCATGTAATAATTGTGATCGATGTGAGTACGCATTTTCTTTGGGCCTTGAACGGACACGCCCGTCGAGACACGATCGATACGAAAACGATGGGGTGTTTTACAGTTTAGAACAGCCACCTGCAGCGACCTCTATCACGGACCCAAAATTATTGATTTCTTTAATTCACAAGTCCATGACTACGCGTATGCGTTCTACAGCGAACCTGGTAAATGGAATAATCTACCATTCAAATAACATAAATAAATAACTACATAAAGTTTTTATTTATGAAAATCTATAATCTCTATGAATATCCCTTATTCATGCCATGCGAACTAGTTAATTTATCGGTGAATAATATCCAATAATGTAAAATTTTTAATTATACAGCTCATAAAAATAAATGTAATACTCTAGTAAACTTTTAATCTTCTATATGGTACATTTTCAAATGTAATCAATAAAAATATTATTTTTTTATTAATTTCTAACTGAAAGATAATTTGCAAATTTTCACCAATTAGACGATTTTCATCAAAATTTTAACTTCAAAGAATCATAATAAAATATTGTAACTTACATCAACTTTTTATTTTTATTTTACCATTAACAACTTAAGTGGAACCTTGTTTTATGTTTTAAGTTTTTTGACCCCACATAAAAATTTTTATTCACATTTATTAAAAGAAAATTAATAAGAACCGAACATTTCTTGTGGTTATCAATAGCTCAAAATTAACAATTGGTGAACACTTTAAGCATCTCTGATAATACGTTTTTGAGTTTTAGAGGTAATAAAACAATCGATTTCGTCAAAAATTGGTTTTGCGTACCATAATCAATTATCTTAATTTTATTGATTTTTTCACACATTTAAAAATAACTTAGAGCACAGCTCTCAACAATAATAACACCAGACTAATCTGGTMCTAGAGACACCTTTCCGAAAACTATACCATATTATCCATCGTCCAATGTATAAGCTCACTTCAATCACTTTTAACAACAAAATGTACAAGAGGTTGCATATTGTCCATCGGGCAAGCGTGTATGTTAGGTTGT